ATATGCAAATCTCCGGAACCACCTTTTCCTGACCTGTGCCTTTAAGAAGGGTTGCGTGACTTGGTAATGATTTCCGTTTGCTTTGGTCGGCGTAATTTTCAAAGAAGACATTTCGTTTGATTACTTCGTGATAACACATTAAACGTGCGTGTTAACTGATGAATTTTTCTTGCAAGTACCTATCTTATCTTATTTCATTCCTTTTCTACCTAAAATACCGTTTCCATCCGACCTGACCTTTTCCAGAGGAATTCCCAGCAAAGGCTGGTGTCACGGGAGCAAAAGGGAGACCGGTTAGGTCTTGGAAGTGATACTAATTGACAAGGCTACGTGAGGATGAAAAAGAATGAAGGGGATCACGAAGGGTGAGAAAAAGGTGGTATAAAAAAGTGAGTAGAGAGGAATAAACACTCATACGTCTTACTCTGTATGCCGGTCCACTAGAGAACAGAAGACGAAGCCCTCGGAGGAGAAAAAGCAGCAAGCCCGGCTCACGTAAACAAGGACAGTAAGGACTAGGAGGCCTCCAAAGAAGCAATCCACCCGTGCAGTAGAAATGGATCTGGAGGGAACAAGGGCGGTATTTCAAGAATAGCCAACGGAGCGGAAGCAGCGCGAGTTCCCACTTTTTGGCAAACCAGGACCCCATCACAGCTTTCAATGTGCGCTTAAGTTCGAGCCTAAGGCCATATGAAGCTGGGACTTACCTGGTGGATGATTTTCGATTTTGGTCCTGCGGACAGTACTGGTTGGAGGCGACAAACATTTCGTATTTCTCTAAGGGGTTGGTACTTTAAATTACGAGTTGTTTTAGCACCGTCTGTTTGAGATGTGACTTTCACTTCCTGGCCTGTGCGACCGCGACCATACACGCCGATGGAAGCTGCCTGGCAGCATACATGGACTGCAAGGTGATAAATGCTTGTCACACCCGATTCCCGTCAGTACACCCGATTCCCGTCGGTAAAGAAAACTTTTGAATAACGACTTCACCCAAACATGGAATATTCACAGAGTTCCATGTTGAAACAACGCAAACAAAAGCAATTTTTCGCAAACAGAACACTTGGTATGAACTACAGTAACACTTTTTCTGGCTTCGATTCTGCCGTCTCTGATGGTAACAGCAATAACAGTTTTCCGCCGCAGCTTTCCAACGGGTTTGACGATCATTCCGAGCGTACTATTCTGACATCGAGTTATATCTTGTTTATTTTCCAACAACTTCTTCACAGCGTCTTCTCTATATAGCAAAAAGGATTTCTGAACCATTCTGCAGTACAGTATCCACGCATTGACCGTAGACGTTTGCAAAACGAGATGGAAAAATGCGCATGTATCACTCGCAAGCCCTCCTGATAAATTGATGTACGATATCAGTTAATCCGATGACTCCTCGAATAACATGAACATGTTGCGCTACCTTATCATTTTAGTAACACCCCTTCCGTTCCTTTCGTCTCCATGACACGTTAATGTATAGAATACGCTTCGTTTGTCGTGCCACTGAATGATGGTTATCTCTTTTGTGACTGCATAGCTTTAGGCGCTTTCTTCTTTGCGAGTGCAAAAAGGAAACCTTTATATTGTTAGCGGAAATTTTAACAAAGTCCATTTTTCTTTGCAAGTCTTTCGAACTAAATCAGCTGAGGAGCACCAATTGTCACAGAGAACTCTTTGGGCAGAATCGACTAACCATGCGTCAAACACATGATTAAGTTTCCCGCAACACTTTCTTCACTGTCGTGAACTTCTCCAACACAAGTTTGCTTCCAAATTTGTTTCTCGTTAGGCATATACTGCTTGAACTTCAGACGACCTCGAAAACGTACAATCGACACATCAGTGGCGACACTCTTTTCGGAAACGACAGCGGGTGTCGATATCTTGTCGGAATTGCCTAGCACTGCTCTAATCTTGAAGAGTTGTTCGGTCCCATTCGCGGTGGACAACATACAAAAAACATGAGACTTAAGAAGGCTTCCCGAGAGGAAGAGAGTTCAAAGTAAGCGGGTGAAAATAGCTGGGTCCATAATTGACTATTGATGAGTATCATCAAATCGTTGCCAGCCAAGCATTGGCATGCAATAACCAAACTGGCGAAGAACGGTTGGATATATCGAACCGTAGAGTACTATATTATGGCCTTGGTTGAAGTAATTAAGCAAGTACCACTCACGCTATATAGAACAACTCTTGGACCGTCTAGCTAAAGCTAACCTCCTCCTTCAAGTTTATACTTTTGTCAGCCCTTATCGCTTGTTATCAGTCTTTGTCACCTATTATTTACGGTCCCTTGACACCACACCATACCTACCGTAGTTGCAAGGCTTCGCCTTCAACATGAAGTTATCAACTCCTGTGGCTTTTGCCTTTAAGCCTACTTACCAGTTCATATCAATCGATATCACTTCCTGATGGCTATCATTAGTGCTCCAATCCTGTCTCCCTTCCGAATTTGAACGCCCTAGCTGCAAGGCGACAAGAGTTATGAATCTCGCCAGGGAAGGATCCCAAGTCGAAGTGGCCATTTGAAATGAGACCTACGCTGCTGGACGTGTTTTTTGATGCTGACTTCAATTCTGCTTTCCAAATTTGATAGACGTTCCTCTTAACGGAGTTATGAGGGTAGTTTTAGGGAGCTTAACATAAGAAAACTTAAACCACCTGGATGTGCCTCATTTCTCAACGGCGGCGTGGTGTAGTGGTAAGCGTGACGCTTCATGGGTGGGAGACTAGGGTTCGGGTTTTGTGGGAGACGGAATTTTTGCATTATGTAGAATTTTTCCCTCAAAGACTAGAATATACTCTCATGGCGGTTTTATCACGTTTTATGACCTTTTAATGTTTTGCTGATACCTTCTCCTACCTACGTATCTATTACGGAGTGGGAGATTCCTTCGTGCGCAAACTCTGGAGGTCGGGGAGAGTAAAATGCATATGAGAGATGAGCAATGATGATGCTAGAGTGGGTGTTGATGCCAGATTGGGTGCGATGGTGCGTAGCAGCTCCGGACTCGCCAACACCGGCACTGTTGATAGTGGACTTGAAGACTATAAACTATTCAGTGCGCCTTACCTCCACAAAAGCAGGTGAAAGGAATGATACTTTGCTCGGAGGTACCTTGAGGCTGATACAGCCAATAGTTATTTCTTATTTACTTTCAAAAATATGGTTAAACGCACCACCTCATGAAATAGCTCATGACCGCAACGTGTGCGTGTACATACGAGAACCCACTTTTTGCTTACTATCGCTTGTCTACTTTCAGTTCTGTCCGGTTAGATTTAGGAAATTCATCTTTTATTCATGCTATGCCGCCGGCTACTTAAGCACTCACCGGGGTGATTTTGGGACGTCTACACAATTCTTTCTGGTTTGGGGTTAGTAAGCGTAAAGCAATGGGCTGTGACCATTTTTTTCATCCGTTGATTCCAATGTGAGAAGCTTCTTTGTCTCAAACATTTCCAGCAAGAGTATCACATCCTACTTACTATTAAGCGCTTAGTCTGTCTGTCTGTCTGTCTGTCTTTCTGTCTGTCTGTCGCCTGTATGTCTGTCATGAAATTCCCTAGCTCCTTTAGATCCGCCTGGAGAGACCGGGTCAAGTGTGGGATGGGTGAGCCAGGTCCCGAGAATTATAAAGCACACATCAGCTTGGCGGAGCCCCGCCCACAGTGGGCGTGGCTTGCATCGAAATGAGCTGCACTGAGGACCATGATTTCAAATTCAGTAACAAGACGGCTTCAAAACTGGGGTTTGAAGGTGGCTCGAGGGGTGCATTGGTAAGTAAGATCGAATTGGGGAGACCCACCCCCGATGGGCAGGGCGTTTTCCAAAAATGAAAAGCTTTATGAAAACATTTGTAACTCGGTTTGGAGAAAGCCAACAGAGCAGGAAAAAGTTGATGTGGGAGAAGTATTGTCGAAGGTGTCTCCAGTATAAATGACGTCAGCGGAGCGTGCCTCGAAGCTCACATCCCCTCTTACATTTATATACGAAAATCCATAACTCCGGTTCCCATGGACCTAGAAAGTTCAAACTTGGTAGGAGTACAGGCGCCATGATGTGAAAACTTATGGTGGGTGGCAGAACCAACTCCGCCCACAAGGGGCGGGGTTTGAGCGGGAACTCTTAAATCCGATAAAGGTCTATAATGAAAGCAGCTCATGTGGCTCCGTTTCTCATGACTAGAGCCCCTAGCGCACGCGGATGCCTGCTTAGCCGCCTGGTCTGTCCATAAAGTGGTAAAAGTTATCCTGCTGTGAATATAGGGTGCATGGGCATGCGAGTAAAACGGAAGTATTACTTCATGTTGATGAATATCAGCAAAGCATTAAAAGGTCATAAAACGTGATAACCGCCATGAGAGTATTTTCTAGTCTTTAAGGGAAGAATTCTATATAATGCAAAAATTCCGTCCCCTACAAAACCCGAACCCTAGCCTCCCACCCATGAAGCTTCACGCTCACCACTACACCACGCCGCCGTTGAGAAATGAGGCACATCCAGGTAATTTAAGTTTTCTTATGTCAAGCTCCCTGAAACCACCCTCATAACTCCGTTAAGAGGAACGGTTGGCAAAATTGGAAAGCAGATTTGAACTCAGCATACAAAAACACTTCCAGCAGTGTAGGTCTCATTTCAAATGGCCACTTCGACTTGGGATCCTTCCCTGGTCAGCTCAAACGCATACAGACAAACCAACAGACACACTTAGTGGATTGTATACAGTGGGATTATTTCAGCTGAGCAAAGCAGAGAAGTCATCTGACCTAATTTAGATCTAAAACTTGCATACTCATGTTTATCAGTTCTACACAACCTTATCGATAGAGAATGGAGAATCAGAATGGTTTTGAATAAAGAATTTTGAATAATAATCAGAATGGTGAAACTATTGGTAGAGTCGAAGTGCATGAATCTGTTCAGTTTTTCACGCAACACTCAAAATAGACAAGAAACCATTTCTTAAAAGGGTTTTATGAAAATAACAATTATGTACGCTTATGCTATGTGTAGTAATCAAAAGGTTCACATTTGTTTCAAAAGTGAATGCTGTGACACCGCTGAACAGATTGCAAGTACCTTCTCCATTTGCTGCAAGAGTCGCGATGCTCGTTTCCTCAGTAAGGCCACAGACGAGTCCATATTGTTCACTAGTGCCACCCAGCCATAAAAATGTAAGTATTGAAAGGGAGAAAGCAAGGTTCCGCCAAAAAAAAGCAACAGTTATTGAATATAATACTTGGAGCATAAGGCGATGTTCTTCTGCAATGCGAGCACACGCTTGCACAGCGTTCTGAGCTGCCAAACAACATTCGCTAGCCCGATGGGGAACGTCGAGACAGATTTGATGCATATCTGGAGCTTGCAATAGCTGGTTTGCCTGCAATCGAACATCTCCGGCGGACAAGACATGATATAATGATCACAAGAACGAACATTCTCCATAGAAACGTCAACTATGCTGGTGATCTCCTTTATTTCTTGTTCCCACATACGGCTGTCCTGTTTATCATGCTTGCCGCTACATCGGAAAAGATATACAGGAGCGTCAACAGCGTCTAAAAACAAGGCAATTTGAAAATAAACAGAAATTGTACTTGAAAATTGGAATGCACACCGATATTTGAAAATCTTCCACTCCACCCATCGGTACCAACACAGTTTTCTATTTTTTTTTCTCAAACATATCCTTTGAATCAGTACTGTATTAATAATCCTTTCCATGAATAAAATTCATCAACAATAATGGTCCATGACTTAATCAAAAAGCCATTGACACCCTATGTCTGGTTGTGGACAAAACTTGCCAAGGCTAAAAATGTGTAAATGTCTAAATATGTCTATGTCTAATATGGCTAAATTGCAAGGAACATGGAAAAACCAATTAAATTGAAGAGAAGGTACTTAGAAATAATATATAATTCTCCTGTAAACCTATATCTGTTACTGTTATATCGATACTCTTATTACTACTTACTACTATTATTACCTACTACATATTATTATTATTATTACTGCTTACAATTATTATTGCTTGCTATTGTTATATTATTACTTACTACTACTATTACTTACTATTAGTATTACTTGTTATTATTATTACTTACTTTCATTATTACTTACAAACATTATTACATACCATTATTACCATCAGTCGAGTCACCCGGCTAACGCAGGACTTCCTTGCTTCTAACGATAGTAAGTAATAATAAAAGTAAGTAATAATAAGAAGTAATAATAATAATAAGTAATAATAATAGTGAGTGATAATAGTTGTATGTAATGATAATAGCAATAATATGAAAGAGTTGTGATAATCGGCAAACACTACGCTCCTTCTTTGGAACAAATGATACTTTTCGGAACAAATTCGATAGAGGAGCAATAAGGCAAACGAAATTCAAAATGAGCCGATGCCTATGCCTTCGTTTAGGGGTCTCGATCTGTCGCTGTTCATCTCAAAAACAAAGACCTATTGAAGATTTGACTTGAAAGCATCCAGAGCCTTGAATGGTACTCACAAATGTTGTCGAGTCATAATAATAGCATTATCAAGTGTCTTCACGAATGTAGGACTTTTTTTCTACGGTTACATCATTGAATGAGAATCCAAGATTATTAGCGGTCGGATAAGTTTTGTTAAGAATGGTATCAAAGCAGAGAAAAACCGTGATCCTTCATTGAATCACAAGCTTCGCTGGGTAGCAGTCGTAAGCGAAAAGTGACCAAATTTCATTTCCTTATAATCGGTCCATATCGCTGTTCTTACACTTCTTGCCGAATGATACATATCAAAGAATCAAAGCTAGATCATAAATAAAAAAGGCGCCAGAATTTAATTGGTGATTGAATCTTCTTTTCTAACAATCTTTTCTAACAAGGAAGATCTTTCTGGGCGTGGGACGCCTTCTGAAAATGGTTTTTTGCATGGTGTAGGAGCATGAGCACTGAGTACAGAACTATGGTCCATTTCCGCCAAATGGCCTCCTGAATGCCAAAAAAAAGTGTGAAATTGATTTCGTGAGAAACTTTCGTTTTAGCCCAATAAGCGTCGTTTGTTTCATTCACGGCGTCGATTTCTGCACAGTAGAAGGCGCCAGTAGACTACGCATTGAAAATAACGTGAACGGTAGCCAAAAAGGAAGCCACATTTTGAAACATGTCGAAAAGTACGGGGAATTTTCATATGTGCTCTCCACAGTCGAGCTGCTGGCAGTGACGGATGGTGTGGTGGATAACGATGTGGACTTCGAGTTGGCACGACTAGGATGGGTTGATGGTTTGGATCCCTGAGGCTTTGAAGCTTTTTCGTTTTATGCTGCCACCTCCAGATTGGTTCCGTATTGCACCAGGGGCAAAGCAATTGCCTGACTGGTCATGGTCGTGATTAGGACCAGCGATAACCTCTGCAACTCGTTAGAATTTGATGTGGGGAGCACTATCAGTGGAGGAGCTTTCAGGCTTCACACTCCCAGGAGTATAAAGGGATCTCTTCATTTCGCACTATATAAGTGTTTTAATGTGGGACAAAATCCTATAATATGGTTCGATGAAAGCTGTCCTCGACCTCGTTCGTCAGTGCAAAGACAACAGGATTCCCATATTCATTGTAGCTCCCGATTCCGACCTTTCTCTGGGCGTCAACCGCGGACTCCTATGGGAAAACGAATCAGATTCTCTTTCAATTCATCTTCTTGCTAAAGCATCCATGAGCATTAGGCTTGCTATAAAAGCTGTCACCCCTGAAGGAAATCATTCTAGCGCCGGATTACTAGATTAATGACTAGATGAAGGGTTTGGATGATACCCGGTGTTAATTTCACCATTCTACATGAAAGCCATTATCAACGTGAAGAGAGGTATCAGGCAGGGCGATACCATTCCGCCGAAACTTTTCAGTGCCACTCTCGAGGACGTCATGCGTCATTTGGAATGGGAAGACCCGGGAGTGGAGGTCGACGGCCGCCCCTACATCACCGCTTTGCAGACGACATCGTGCTTATATTACCGAACGTCGAGAAGGCGGAGCGAATGCTGCCCGAGTTTGATAGTGCATGTGGAAAGATCGGCTCGAGACTGACTTAACGAAGACGATGCTTATGAAAAACTTATTGGTACCTGAGCTAACTTCACGCTTAACGGAGCCAATATCTCCGAATGCTCTAGCTATGTGTATCCAGGTCCGGAAGCCAACTTGATGAACGACCTAGCTCCGGAACAGTGCAGAAGGAAACGCGCCGCGTGGGGAAGTATTTAAGAATATCGAGGGAGTAGTGAAAAAGACAAAGAACATCCGGCTCCGGACTCACCTTTTCGACACTGCTGGCCTTCCTGGTTTGACGCACGCTTCGGAAAGTGCACTCTACGAAAGCTGGATGAGCATGCTGTCAGCGTCACTCAACGCGCTTTGGAAAGGACGATGCTCTTTGTTCCTCTATACACGCAAGTGCAGAAGAGAACCCAGAGTTCCGAGCTCCGTCATCAAACGAAGATCAGGGGTGCCGTTTATTACGCCAAGAAATCGAAGATGAGATGAGCGAACGAGACAGTCAGACTTCTTCACGAAGGGAATGTTGGACCACGTGTTCCTGAAGCAAGAACGTACATCGGACCATTCTAGCTTGTGACAGTGATGAATGGAGACGTTACTGGCGCCTGCTAGAGGAAATCGATGATCAACGGGTGTGCAGGTGATACAGGTATTACTATTACTATTACTATTACTAGTACTACTATTTTTATTATTTTTCAATTACTATTACCACTACTATATTACTATATTAATGTTATTATATTACTATTTCACAATATTACTATTACTATTACTATTACTATTACTATTATTATTACTATTACTATTACTATTACTATTACTGTTACTATTACTATTACTACTATTATTATTATATTGCAATTACTATTACTACTACTATATTACTATGTTACCATATTCCTATTACTATTACTATTACTATTTTTATTACTATTACATATATTATTATTACTATTATTACTATTATTATATAACTATTGCATTGATATTCTGTAATTTCTCAGAGAATTATACAGTACACTCATTTTGCCTATAAAATGTGATAATCACTGATCTTTTGTGTTATTACTAAAGTCATTCTGAGAGAGGAAAGGAAGCAAATGAACAATTCCAGCTGGGTTATCCAGCAAACCCTGTTTCTTTTCCAAAATCGATTTTTGCGTTGAAGGGAACCCAAGGATATAGGTACGGTGTCCTTGCCGAATAGGACTTTGTTCTCCGACTTCCAAATTTGGCAGCACCAAATCTCTACTCCTACGCTACCCGAATCGGCCGGGTTTATTGCAGTTCCGTTATAGGCAGACATTCAACTGCGCTATGGTAACTTGCGCTATGAAAGCCTGCGAGAAGGAACACTTCCGTCGACTTCATTTTTCGCTTAGAATGAGGGTATTATTGTTGGAAAAATGCTTTGATACTTTTCTTGGGATGTGTACGGTGAATCCTTTTTCACTGAACTGAAAAGTCTTGATCAAAACCTTTCCTCATACTTCGCAACTTCTTGCACATCAGATATGGAGATTCTTCTGCGTGACTCTCCTCGCTTAGCTCCAATATTCAGAGAAGAGCATGGAAAATAGAAGCAGAAAGTAATCAGAGTTCTAAATGACAATAACCTCCTGACTGAACTACTACAAAGCGGCTTTACAAAGCATGAGTACTGGTTTTCCCTCGGTAACCTATTACTAAAACAGGTACTCACGCGAACGGCTGATAGAAGACAGAAGAAAACTGCTCTGATCCTCTTCAAAGTACGGCTTTCTATGCACCTCGGCATAACTGTATTGTTGGATTGTTTGTTCCCTTGAACTCTTCACGAGGTTTGTAAACAAGCTTCATCATGCAGATGTTCCGGCGATATCGTCTTCTTCTGTTACGAACCGCGTCACGAATGGAAGTTCTATTGAGATGAACACCTTCTAACAGTTCTGGAGCGGCGCTGTAGGAAGGAATTTCACTCTGATCGGCGATTAAGGCTCATATACAACATCATGCGACCCTATGTTTGGACTGTTGGCTCATTCATCAACCCATTGCGTACCGCAATGTTTTGCGCTAGCTGCCGCATGTGCTCGGCGTTTTCTTCAAAATCGACGCGGCGACGTGGTTCACGGCGTGCAGCACGCAGCCACACAGAGCGATTGTTTGAGCGAATTGCAAAGTATGAGCTGTTCGAACTTTATTCAAATTCCAGGGTGATTTTGGATGAAAACGCGGGCGCGGAGGGGCGAAGGGGCGTGCTGCACCATGTGCAGCACGCGGTACGCAATGGGTTAAAATATGATTTGTAGGTTTAACATTTGAGGAGGCAAAGTATTTTAACTTCATTCCCTTCCAATACACTCCCTCCGCAGAAATATAGAAGTGAAATAATTAGGGAAGATGTGACATGTAATCGTTTAGTTTTTGACGAGAAAGATGTTTTTTGATGTTTTTTGATGGAAAAGGATTTTAGATATAGGTTTTCAATACAACCTATAAAAGTTGATCTGTATAGTGGATTTGCATATCAATGTGATTATTATCTTGATGTTGGTAAAAAATCGAAGATGTTGGGGGCAGCTTTGAAAGTATTGTATCATAAAAGAAAGTCGAGAGAAGATCAACGTCAAAGCCACTATTACGAGTGGTGGAATTAGGTAGCGAAATAATTTCTGAAAAAAAAATACAC